GAACCTTCTGAAACTACGAGGAATTACCAATGACCGAAAAATGTGGCTCGAACAGCCGATTCCTGTTAATGCGTACATGCTACGAAAAAGAGCAAAATACATTGAGTATTTTGTTGTGCGTTGGTGGGCATACTGAAAACAGCGTACAACGCGGTATATTTATTAACATTACAAATTATCTGGTCATTTGGTCGGTACCGACGTTTCGGTCCGTGTCTAACATTCCTTCTTAAAGATAGAGTAGTAAAGAAGGTCAGAAATTATTCTGGTTTCAAATGTAGTAACAGCTGCGAACGACGAAAGAACCTCCAACGTTTAAGTACAAAACTGATTATTTGACACATCCGTCGTTAGGAAATGTTTATGACAGAAGGGTGATTTCTATTCCATACAGTCGGAAGGGGTGTAGACAGATTTAGGAGTGCAGGATGAGATTTTGAGATAACGGTTAGAGTGTTGTCGGTTTTCTGTATACGGTGAAGGCGAAGGATCCATTGGCGTCTTGTATAACATGAATGTCGGGAAAGGCCAAGTGATTTTCGTTTTTTCGTTCGGAATTGAATTTAATGACCTGCATAAATGGCTCACTAGGCTGCTAAGAACAAAAAAACAATACTCTTTGTTGCGAAACCTGGTTTTCCTGCTATTTACTCCATAGCCGATGTTTTTGTTTTTATATTTAGCAATAATATTTGAAAAGATGAGCTTTTGCCACTTCATTTACCATGAACAAGCTGTTGCTCTGGCAGCTACAACGGCACAAATGCGTTTAGCACTGTATGTGTGTCACAAGGGGCAGTGCCGTTCAGTGCGAACCCCTGGATTTGGAGTGCTCTTCGCTTACTAGCAGGCTTCTTTTCTATTAACCACTTTTTTCAAAACGCACAAGGCGATTGATTCCTGAGCCGTTGTCAGACGAGCAAGATATCGTAGTAACCAATTAAGTGATACGAGATGCATTTATTCACTGTAGATAGTCAAATACCATAGAACAGTTGTTTGATTAAACGGTCTCCTAAGTGCAGGAGCAAGGAACATTAGTATATGCTATGAAACACGGTCTATAAGCTTATTAACCTAGTTACGAACCCAGTTTTTAATAAACCGGATATGGCAGTGTTTAGTGTTTATGCGCTTTTTGTTACCTACTATTCCTATTACTATTTTGTCTAAAAATTTTGCGTATTAGTTTGGAAATAACGCGCTGCTATGGGCTTGTCGCAAGAACGCCACTCAAATTGCCCAGGAGCTGATTGAAGCTGGCAGCAACTCAGACGTTATCGGAATGGTACGTGAGCGAATTTGTTTTTAAAGTTTACCATTACAGTATATGTTTTTTTAGTTACAGTACTGGTCAGTTTCGATGGCCGCTGATTCTTTCGGGTCACAGAGACAGTAGTTTCTGACAGTGTCT